AAAGGGGTTTTCATGTGTGTGGAATAGAAAATACCTTTCACATTTTACAGACACTATTCTGAGAAAAAAAAATCAGGCCCAATGTAAGGGACAAGAGGCAGCACATCAACAAGATTCTGGAATAAATACAGTACTAACTCCCATTCCCCAGAGTACTAGCTGCTAGTAAAATGAGATATAATGTTTCAGGCTTGACAGGGTCTCTGTTACAAACCATTCTTACATTCCTGGGCACAGAGCTAGTCTAAACATTCATAGAACTCTTCAATTATATATTGGCTTCTACATCAGCAGAGTTGAAGAGGAAAACAATGGCAGGGTGTATGGGCCTCCTTTCAGATACGGAGTAACAGAAACCCCAACTCAAAGGTCTTTCCAAAAAGGAAATATACTTTTTCATAAAAAGAGAATTTCAGAGATAAAGCAGACTTTAGGTTGCCCTCAACGATGTTAGCAACATCCTAGATTTTCAAATCCCAGCCCACAATCTATATTTGACATCTTCATCTGGAAATTGGCTCTCCTCCTAGGTGTCAAGTGGCTGCCAGTAACAACTGCACTTTCTCTAAGGGGGGAGGAAGGACTTCCTTGGAAATCACAAGCAAATCTCTCCTCAAGGCTCTGCAGCCACAACTTGGTCACATTTCCATTTCTAAACCAATTTTTGACAAAAGGGAACATATTATCCTGAAATTATTTCAGCCTAGGATAAGCTTTCCCTCTGACACTTGGCCACTTAGTGGAGGGTGGAGGCTGGAAAAAAGTCAGGGCTGTGTTCGAGGAAGAAGGAGAAATGCTGAGTGGGCTACCAACAGTGTCCCCCACCTGGAGGGAGAGGCTCTGCTGAGTAGGAACTTGAAATAGCTAAGTTAAAACTGGAAGTACATCTGAGGACCCTTCCAACTAGCAGATTCCAAGAAGACTCAATAATGCCTGATCCCAAATCCATTCTTTCATCAATCTGAGCTGAGGCACTGTGTAACATCAGGAAACTGTGCAGGTTCTTCAAGAGGTACAAAGGTAAATAAAAACGGTTCCGTCTGGACTTTATTGCACAGTGAGAGTCATATGGGGTATCTGTAAATAACAATAAAAGGTAGAATCACTTTGTGGGAAGTTTGATCCACAAGGAAGACTTCTGTGATGGTTAAGTCTGTCAACGTGATCGGATTGAAGGATGCAAAGTATTGATCCTGGGTGTGTCTGTGAGGGTGTTGCCAAAGGAGATTAACATTTGAGTCCGTGGCCTGGGGAAGGCAGACCCATCCTTAATCTGAGTGGGCACCATCTAATCAGCTGCCAGCACAGCTTGAATATACAGCAGGCAGAAAAACGTGAAAAGACTAGACTGGCCTAGCCTCCCAGCCTACATCTTTCTCCCGTGCTCGATGCTTCCTGCCCTTGAACATCAGACTCCAGGTTCTTCAGTTTTGGGACTTGGACTGGCTCTCCTTGCTCCTCAGCTTCCAGACAGCCTATTGTGGAGCCTTGTGAGCATGTGAGTTATTACTTAATAAACTCCCCTTCATGTAATATTATATATATACCCTATTAGTTCTGTTGCTCTGGGGAACCCTGACTAATACAACTTCCGAGGAGGGAGATCACTTCTGAGCAAATTTTGAGGAATGGCAGCAAGAAGAAGGTGGCTTCTGAGACGAGCCTTGTGAGAGATCACATTTTACGTAGTATGAGGGACAAGTATTTCTGGGTAAAGGGACAGCAATGGGGCGGGGCTAGTTAAAAAACAAGATGAGGGAATTATCTTCAGTGTAAATTGCTCCCCCACCAAAAGGACAAAGTGTCTGACTCACCACCTAGTGGCTTCACTGGATGTTCTCCTTCTGCTCCACAATCCACCCCTCATTCTTCTCCACCTTGTTCTGTGGCCCCAGAGGCTGGCCTTGTGGACTGTATCAACTAGGCCACCTTTTTCCTGGTGTGAGTTGGGTTCGGCTAAGATGGCATGGGCAGGAGATGACAGAGTGAGAAGAAAGAGAGTTGGAGGTATGATTCCTCCAGCGTCCTCCTTGCCAGACTATAGGTGGGCAGACTATAGTAGCCATATTCCTCTAGCAAAAGCCATGGCTTTCTCCAAACAGCCCTTCCCTATAACTAGTGACATGGGAGTTGGGCAGGGAAGTGCTGGGTAGAGAAGGGCCAGGTCCCTGGTGAGGGCTCCACCCTCAAGCCTGTGCCGCACACCTAAGTGAGAACAGGTACTCCTGTTTTCATGCCCGAATGTTGCATTTTCCAAGACCACTCGGGCCAACCAAGCCCCCCATCCTGTACCCATATAAACCCGAGACCTTAGTGGGTATGCACACAAGCAGCTGAATGTCCAGACCAGCAGACCAGTGACAGCAGAACGATGCAGCAGAGGAAAAAAAGGGGGACGTCTGGATGCCGAGGGAAAGTCGGCCGGCGTGGTTAGAGAAGGGTCCAGCTGCTGGGCAGCCCGACTCCAGGGAAAGATTATTTCCCTCACCCCTCCACCTTCTGGCTCCCCATCCATCTCGCTGAGCATCGCCTCCACTACTCAATAAAAACTTGCACTCATCATTGGAGCCCATGTGTGATCCGATTCTTCTGAGACACTGGGCCAGAGCTCAGGATATAGAGGCTGTCACACTGGCCCTCTGCTCTTGCAATAAGGCAGAGGGTCCATTGAGCTGATTGGCACACAAGCCATCTGCAGATGGCAAATCCGAAAGAGCTTGGGTTACACGTGCCCGCCTGGGAGTTGCAGACACCCACACCTAGACACTGCTATGGGGCCGAGAGCCCAAAGCATTCATCCCATCCTCTGCACCTGCCAGTCTACATGCTCCCCTAGGGGTTTGAGCTGTAGGGCAACCAAGCAGGTGAGCCACACCCTTGTTCCATGTGCTGCAGGGGGAATCAGGGAACTCTCCCACTTCACTAGCTTTCAGTACCTGCTCCCTCCCTGTTCACCACACTGGGATAGCAACCTTGAAGCATTGCCAGCCCTAGGGGCTTCATCATAATGCCTGGTTTCCTTGCACTATCAATGCCTCTATAGAAAAGGCCCTTGATTAAGTTCTCCCCAGTCAGCCCGTCTGAATATTCCACCTGTTTCCGGCCTGGACCATGACTGACAGAGATCTTTGTAGTCAACTGAAGTTAGCCAGTAATTTTTTTTTTTAATTTCCATTGCTGTTCTCTTATTTCTTGCTTCTAAGTATCTTATTTCCTCATCTTCTAAGTGTGGCATTAATAATGAACTTCCCATCAGATCTATAAGTTGAAACTCTTTCATCTCTACCTTGAAGAGCTAGATATTTCTTTCAAAATGTTGGAACTATACAAATGACAAAAGAAAAAATAGAAAAATTGGACTTCACCAAAATTAAAATCTTTTATGCTACAAAATGTATCATCGAGAAAGTGTAAAGCAACCTGCAGAATGGGAGAAAATATTTGCAAATCATATCTGATAAGGGACTTACATCCAAAATATAGAATTCTTACAACTCAATAAATAACACAATGTTTTTAATGGGCAAAGAATATGAATAGATATGTCTCCAGAAAAGATTACAAATAGCCAGTGTGTACATGAAGAGATACACAACAGCATTAGCCATTTGAGATATGCAAATCAAAGCCAGAATTTAAACCACTTCATCCCCACTAGGATGGCTATAACTAAAAAGGCAAATAATAACAAGTGCTGGCTGGCGAGGATGTGGAGAAACTGACACCCTCATCCATTGCCAGTGGAAATACAGGATGGTGCCAGTCACTTTGACACTTCCTCAAAATATTAAACAGTTACTAGATATTTTCCCTTTTACTTTTAGTTGGCACATAATATTTATGTGATACAGAATGGTATTTCCGTACATGTATACAATGTATAATGATCAAATCATAGTAATCAGCATATTATCACCTAAAATATTTATCATTTCTTTGTGCCATAAACATTCAAAACCCTCTCTTCTAGTTTGTTGAGAATATACAATAAATTACAGTTAACCATCTTCACCCTATGGTGCTGCAGAACACCAGAATTCATTTCTCCTATCTAGCTGTCATTTCGTATCCATTAACCAACCTCTCCCCATAGTCTCCTCCTCACCACTCTTCCCAGGCCCTAAGACTCAGTGTTCTACTCTCTATTTCCAGGGGCTCAAATTTTCTTTTTAGCTTCCACGTATAAGGGGAACATGTGATACTTATCTTTCTACACCTGATTGATTTCACTTAACATAATGACCCAGCAATTCTACTTCTAGGTATATACTCAAGAAAGTGAAAATAGGTGTCCACACGAAAGCTCTGTACACAAATATATTCATAGCAGCATTATTCATATTACTCAAAAAATGGAAACAACCCAAATGTCCACCAAATGATGAATAGATAAATAATTAGTGGTCTACCCATATGATGAACTATTACTGGGCAATTAAAAGGAATGAGGTTCTGATTTATGCTACAACATAGTCGGACCTTGAAAACATCATGTGAGTGAAAGAATTCAGTCACAAAATACTACATGTATGATTCTATTTATATGAAATGTCCAGATTGGCAAATCCATAGAGGTAGAACATAGATTAGTGGTTGCCTGGGGAAACTTAGGGAGAAATGGGGAGTGACCGCTAGTGGGTACAGGATTTCTCTGGGGAATGATGACAAAGTTCTAAAATTGATGGTGGTGATGGGTGCACATTTCCTTGAATATACTGAAAACCACTGTAAACCTTGAATTAGTGTATTACATGTGAATGATAGCTCAATAAAGCTAATAAAAATTAAAATGATGTGTTTTAAAATTTTGGAACCAACTAATTCTAAAAGCAAATGTTGCCAAAATTTCCAAAATACCTTTGTCTATAATCTTTAGGCTATTTCATGTGTCTGACAGCTACTTAGTAGCCTCAAAATAAATGTGAGAACAAATTGGTAGCTTATTGAGCACCATCTTTCCACCTTTTAACCCACTTTGTTTGTTTGTTTGTTTTTTCCAGAAGCCAACCCCACACCAAAACATGAACAGGGGAATGGAATTTATTGCTCCTGTGTCAGCTCCCACCAAATGCGGTGCCCTGTGGCATTTTTTTTCTCCAGGCCCCACGGATGCCCAGAGATCAGTTAGAATCAGGCCAGGCACCAGGATGGGCTTGTCCTCAGATCCAGTTGTTAGCACCTTGTCTTCCAATTATCTAGCTCTGCTAACTCTCTCTTACAAGCCTGGGAGGAGAGTGACAAGTTCATACCTAAATGTAAGCTCTGAAGGGTCTTAGCACCCACAAGTTTAAGGAAACCCATGAGATGCTCTGAAACTTCCATGAAAGTGAAGACTTGGAGGGATTGTTACATTCTTTTTTTTTGAGACGGAGTCTTGCTCTGTCACCCAGGCTGGCGTGCAGTGGTGCGATCTCGGCTCACTGCAAGCTCCACCTCCCAGGTTCATGCCATTTTCCTGCCTCAGTCTCCCAAGTAGCTGGGACCACAGGTGCCCTCCACCACGCCCGGCTATTTTTTTGTATTTTTAGTAGAGATGGGGTTTCACCGTGTTAGCCAGGATGGTCTCGATCTCCTGACCTCATGATCTGCCCACCTCGGCCTCCCAAAGTGCTGGGATTACAGGCATAAGCCACCGCGCCCGGCTGGATTGTTGCATTCTTGCATGCCTGGATGTTTCATATTCTCTGAATATCCAGCATGAAACTGATCTGTTCCCATGCTTTTTTGCCAAAGTGGTTTATGTTAGGATAAAAGAAAACACCCCTTACCAAGATGCTCTGAAAGCACCTTCTCCATGATATTAATGATAACTAATGTTATTAAGAGAACATAAGGCAACTTTAACAAAATAAGAGCTCACTAAAGGGAATCCTGTATGGAAATTGTTCATGCAAATGCCATTTCGGAGCTGGCATTGTACTTGCAGACGGGGTCTCTACAGGAAGCTATGGCTTCAGTCCTACATGAGCCCGTATAACCACTCAGCAGATAAAGTTCCATGAAATCGGTGCCTCAAACCGCAGTATCTCTAAAGGAACTGCTAACTTAAAAAGTAATCCGTCAATAGTAAGGATTTTTAAACTTGAGCCTAAAAATTTTAAATACTGTTAGTAGTAATAAAGCAATGAGATTTCTCTAAAATTATTGTTGCCTGTATCACTTTAAATCTTTGACATAAATGAAAACTTGCATGGAAAATGCTACAGTTCTAAGCAAATCAAATAGGTTGAGCATTAATAAACAGGAAGATGAAGTAGGTGAAATTGATTTTGTTGGGAACTGGTGGGAACTGGTAGAGATAGTGATTTTTTAAAATACTTTTTAAAATTTTTATCTATTTATTTATTTTGAGACCAGGTTATGAGACTGGCTAATTTTTATATTTTGGTGTTTTGCCATGTTGCCCAGGCTGGTCTTAAACTCCTGGGCTCAAGCGATCCACCCACCTTGGCCTCACGAAGCGCTGGGATTACAGGCATGAGCCACCATGCCAGGCTGAGACAGTGTTTTAAACTGTGCTATTGATGTTCTAGGGAAAAGGTAAATCAGCCTGAGCTAACAGAAGTCCTTGTAGTCCACATGTAGGTACGTGGGCATGAAGTAAGAAAGCTCCAGAGTTCTGCTGAGGCCACAAGGATTTCCAGAACTGGCAGTAGTTAAGAATTTTGCAGAATTGAAGAGTCACACCTCTAAATTTGTGTAGATTGTGAAATCTCTTCTTGCAAGAAAAAAAGAGAAATAGCGGGAGTTATGGAAATAACAGTTGATGAAAACTTGGTAGTCTGAAGTCTGAACTTTGAACACTGGCAGACAGGCTGATAATTCTCTTTGATCGTGAGCCCAAGTTCCATGTGCACCGCAGGAATCTGTGCAGCATTTGTGCACTGGTGTGGCGCCCAGGAGAGGACCACAGAGTGACAAGCCACCAGGCTCTAAAGGGAGAGGACGATCCCCAGAGGACCTGGATAGAGATGTTTTCATGACCATTGTCTGCTGTGTGCTCCCAGTGATGAGACTCTAGAATTTACACCTGAAACACACAGTCATTTAAGATATTATTTGTAATATCTGGTATGTCTAAGTAAAACATGTATTCAGTAAAACTTGCCATGCAACTTATCTCATTGTGTGGATTTCATTCTTCTCAGTTAATTCTTTTATGTTTTCTGAGGTTTTTTCTAGATGGAGTTTCATTCTTGTTGCCCAGGCTGGAGTGCAATGGTGCGATCTCGGCTCCCTGCAACCTCTGCCTCCCAGGTTCAAGCGATTCTCCTGCCTCAGCCTCCCGAGTAGCTGGGCTTACGGGTGCCTGTCACCACATCCAGCTAATTTTTGTATTTTTAGTGGAGACGGGGTTTCACCATGTTAGCCAGGCTAGTCTCGAACTTCTGACCTCAGGTGATCTGCCTGCCTCAGCCTCCCAAAGTGCTGGGAATACAGGCGTGAGCCACCACGCCCAGCCTTTTATGTTTTTTTAATGTCCCAGTTTAAACAAATGAAAATTGTATGTTCGGTAAGGAGGCATGTCGGACAGGATGATCAGGGTTTAAGCACCTGAGGAAGATACTTGCTGCTCGATTTTGCTGTGAACCTGCAAAGCTCCTCTCAAAAAGAAAGTCTGCTTTACAAGGAGGGGTCTAGAACTGGGCTTTGTAAGATAGGTACGGTTTGCAAAGCCAGAAAGAAGGAGAGAAGAGCATTTAACAAATAAGGTAAGATGGACCCTAATCTCTTCGAACCCAGAGGGAAAGGCCCTGATGAGACCAGAAGGGGCTGACACAGGGAGGAGCAGTGGGGCAAGTGGAAAGAGCAGGTGCCTTGAGGTCAGCAGAGGAACTCAGACTTGAGGTTTTAGATATTAAAAAGCCATTGTGCTTGAAGTGTGTTCTGGAAAGACGACCCGCTCTGGTGTGCTTGCTCCTCTGCCCTGGCCAGGCCAACCCCAAGTCTTGGGCCTAGAGAGGCTCCTGAGGGCTGCCTGGGAGGGCCAGAGAGGAGTGAGCCAGAAAGGGGAGGGCCAGCAGGGCCATCGCTGTGAAAGAACAACTAAGAGAGGACAGGCCCATGGGCTTGGTCCAGGTGACAACAGTGCCCAGCCCTGTTCTAGGGAACTGAGGCCCGGTGGCCTTTCATCACTCGGCCCCAGGGATACCTGGTCAGCCCCCTCAGTGGGGGCAGAGCTCTCTAGACCTTAAAGAGCCTTTGGGGTGTTACAGGTTGACTCGCATCCCCCAAAAAGATATGTTGAAGTCCTAATCCCTGTACCTGTGAATGTGACCTTATTTGGAAATAGGGAGTTAAAATGAGATCATTGGCCGGGCACGGTGGCTCACACCTGTAATCCCAGTACTTTGGGAGGCCGAGGTGAGCAAATTACCTGAGGTCAGGAGTTTGAGACCAGTCTGACCAACATGGTAAAACCCCGTCTCTACCAAAAATACAAATATTAGCCAGGTTTGGTGGTGCGCGCCTGTAATCCTAGCTACTCGGGAGGCTGAGGCAGGAGAATTGCTTGAACCCGGGGGATGGAGGTTGCAGTGAGCGGAGATCGTGCCACTGCACTCCAGCCTGGGTGACAGAGTGAGACTCTGTCTCAAAAAAAATAAATAAATAAAATGAGATCATTAGGGTGCGCCCTTAGTCCAATGTGGCTGCTGTCCTTATAAGAGGGAAATTTGCACACAAAGAGATGCACAGAGAAAAGACAGCCACATTGCAACAGAGACAGAATTGGAGTCATTTATCTTCGAGCCAAATAACCAAGGGTTGCTGCTAACCAACCACCAGACTCTCGGAGCAGGCCAGGACTGAGCCTCCCCCGGAGCTTCAGGGAGAACCGG